AATGAGTTGGTAATTGTGTGAGAATGTTTGTGGCAGCAAAAGTCCTCCAAGATTTGTAAGAAATAGATGCATACATGAGGGTTGATCTTAGAAGTATGGTGATTTTGTGCAAGACAAGTAATGGGTAAGTGTTTTTAACTTTGAGATCATAAATGGATAGGAAAAATAAGATGTGCATTGATTGTTTATGCTTGTGGCAGCAATGGTGACCAAGGATGTGAGGAGATTGTGAACTATATGTGGAACCCAAGATAAAGATTGGAAGGTAAGCATACAATGTGAGTACACTATGTTGTGTTGGCTTTGGTTAGTTGAAAGTATGTGGATTGCATGTTAAATTGTTATGAATGATGAGGATGAAAAATGTGATATTAGATTAAGGATTAATTGATTGAAGTGTTGCCCGTACATGTGTGTAATTAAATATAATGAGTTTGAATTGTTGCTAGGAAGCGTGTAAATGAGGAAGGTTTGCCGTGGTGGCATACCGAAAGAAATAACAGGTGACCGGCAAGTAGAATCAGCTAGAAACACACTCGAACCAATAGCGACATAGTGTCCCACTATTGAAAAGTGAGTAGAGGGTGCCTATTTAAAAAATTTTCATAACTACATAATGATATACGTATAGTAAATGTTGCTAGTTTTCTTTAAATGCATTTGTGGAAAGCATGAGTTGCTAGAAAATGATAGGTAGTTTCAAATACTTATTTGCGAAAGATTTATACACTGTTATTATGGAAAGCATGAGCTACTAGAAATACTAGGCAATTGTGGATGCCATGACTTTTGAAATTGCTTTGAATATATAAATATATATATATAAGCTATATATGTAATTAAAAATCAGGAAACAAGCTCTTTAACACTAATTATGTCAAAATTTACCTTATTTTTTGTGTGATGTGTATTCATGAATAAATTACATGTTCACCATGCCGATTTGATATTTAAACCTCATGCAAAGGTTTTATATTATAAAGTCTTACAAAAGGGTTTTATTATATTAACATGAATGGTATTTTGGAAATGGATTCGAAATAAGCTTTTAGAACGCAATTTGCTTTTAAATAGCTTTATCAAACAGGGAGATTTGAGAGAAGGTCAAATGTCACATCGAGATAGTGTGACTTTTGTGCACAAGTGAGTTCTAGCTAGAGAACCTCTAGGCCGCTGACGGGTTGTTAGACATGGCTGGGGCCTCGATTTGTGATATATACATGGCAAGGCCACAGGTTGATAAATGTGGCTAGGCCACAAGCCGATATATGTGGTTGCGACCATATGTTTTCTTCGATGTCAGCCAAAATCATTGAGACTGCAATGGTTGTGTGAATCCGGTGGAACGGCTCTCCTAGATTGTTATTATGTGGAAGCTAGTCCACGAGTTGATTATTTATGATTACCTACTTGAAAGTGATATCTCTTTGGGTTTTCAAACACAACTTCTTTTCCATGGTGAGAAATACAAGTGTTTCTACAGCTCCTTTATTTATAAAATGATTTTATGTTTAATACCTCGAGGATGAGATTATTTATGAGCTTGTGTAAAAGCTTTGATAATGTTTAATTTCATGGGAATGTGTGTGCTTATGTTAGTCTAATTTTAAGTAAAGGACATTAAATGATTTTGACGATAGAAATCTTTCGCTCACACTGGTTTTGATACAATGACTATTAAATGATTACTTTGCATTAAAATTCTTGGTTTTATATGTAAGGCACAAATGTTCCATTTGCATTAAAATGGTTTATATATTCAAATGATTTTAATATTCAAATTATCCATCCTTAGCTTGTTTCCTATCTATACCCTACTCGTAGAGCCGATGATCACTGAGTTTGTGAGACTCACCCCCCTTATCTCCCTTTTGTAGATAGTGATCGGCCTAATGTGCAATCATTGGCACTTATGGTCCACCGCGGATAGGTAAAGGCATCTCATAGCACTTTATTTTGAGTCGCTTCACTGTTGGTGGTCGAGTCGTTCGTAGTTCATTTGTTTTCTTTTTTTGTAAATAGACACTAATTTCAATACAATTGTACAGTTTGAAATTATACATTTGGATGTAGTTTTACAATTATATGGAATAAAAGTTGAGTTGATTTATTATGACTATTGTTCAATACCATATTGCAAAGAGTTATTCAATACAAGGGATTACACAGATTGGTGAATGTATATAATGAATTAACGAAAGTTTCTAATAAGGCTTGTTCGGGACTTGGTGGGTTCTTCCGCAAGTCTCGAATGCCAGTAACAATCAAGAAAAGGGTCGTTACAATTAACTGACTATATGTCTATGTGAATCAATTAAGGAAGATTCATTAAACTCATGCTCTAAAATTGACTACATGTGGTATTTAAGTATATTTCTATCCTAAATACTAATCAAATCACCTAATCTCTAAGTGAAATGAACACATGCTATTCAAATCTTAGTCTATTTTAATCTCTCTTTGTCAAGTAGCATTTAGAGACCCAAATCAATCGAATTGTTGATCAGTCAATTAGAAGCAATAAGCATGGATTTGAAATAAACAAGTCAATACCCATTAATAATAAGTAAAAAAAAAAGACAAAATATCCAAATCACATGTTGAGATTAACCACAATCCTAGAAAAAGCAATTTAGTTCATAGTTTCTATAGCAAACATCAGAATCTCAAGAAAATAAACCATTTTACAACAGAAGAAAGAGAAAGAAAGACAAATCTAGTAAGAAAAACAAGTCCTTGTTTCTTTTAAAAACTCAATCTTCCTTGATTTCTTCTCTCTTTTTTTTTTTGCAAAAAGTTTCTTTGTCCTCTGAAAAGCTGCTATCTAGAACCCCCAAAAAGCTACTAAAAAAGTCTTATTTATACCCTTTTAAAAGCCTTAAAATAAAAAAATCAAAGAATGCAAAAAATTTGAAGTCATGTACTAGCGCTGAGGTGTCGAGCTCTTTCGTTTTTCTACTGGGGGTTGTGGCATCAAGGTGTTACGCCCTTAGGTGACTAGCACCATGGCAACCTACCTTCTGGAAGTTGAATGGGAGTGGGGGCATCCCAACTCCGTGGCCTTGGGTGGTTGAAGTGGTGTGATAACATTATTATGCAGAGTTATTTGACACATTTTTGGAGGCTTAAGTAGCTAGATCTTTGAGATTTGATGTTTGAATTTTAGCATTTTAAGTGTTTTCCTAGTTTAAATTTGATTACATGTGAAGTAGTTAATTTAAGTTATTTTTGTTTACTTTTATGTTATTTTATTTTAAATTACTTTAAGAGTAGTTATTGTTGATTTCTTTTATTGCTTTTGTAGAAAATTTGATGAAAAAGGTTCATTTGATGAAATCTGTATAAATATAGTGACAGCTTCATTCATATAAGTTACAGTACTTTGACCATATCTCTTTATACAAAACTCCAAATGAGGTGATTCTTAGACCACTTGAATGTTAAGGGAAATTTTTATGTTTATCACTTTATCCAATTTGTGGACACCATTTTTAGAATAAATTGAGTATTTTTCATTTACACCCCCATTTTAATTTTATTTTAATTTTTGTTTTTGCTTGTATTGATTGTTGGTCCAAGTTCAAATAAGTGTCTCCTATGACTTTGTTTAGGTTTCTTAAGTCTTTTTTGGCCATTAGTAATTTTAGGCCTTACTTGAGTTTACGTTTCATGTCTAGTGGGGTTAAGATCTAGGCTTAATGTTTAAGTCTTTTGGTTAAAACAAGTCTATCAAACTTAATTAAAGAAAAACAAATCAAACAAAGATTAAAATAGGTAAACAAAATTAAGGCAATATCAATTGTAGAACATTATGGAAATATAAATAATCGGATGAAAAAGGCCAACTAGCCAAAAAAGGGCCCAAGTCGTACAAGGAAAAAAGGGGCACTACTAGGTGCATGAAATCACACTTGGCAGAGGTAAAAACAACAAGAAATCAAAGGCTAATAGGGTGTTAAGAACAACATTCATGGCCCTTATATAAAGAAAAAAATATCAAGGATAAAGATGAGCTTTTGAAAAAAAAAAACTCTATAAAATATAAGAAAGAAACCTTAGGTTTTTCTTCTATTTTTCTCTAGTAGCTATCAATACACCACAATGAATACAAAAAAAGAAAAAATGCAAAGAGAGAGAGAGAAAGAGAGAGAGAGAGAGAGAGAGAGAGAGAGAGAAATAGCAACAAAATTGGTGAAGAACAGTTAAGAAGAATGATTTCTTTTTGTTTTGTTAATGTTTTGAACTAGGGGTAAGGCTTTAGAGAAAATGAGGAGAGAGGTAGAGAGATATAGGCTATATCTTTAGGAAAAAATAAGAGACAATTTAGAGTGATGGGGAGCAAAGGGGATAGGGGTTTCAAGTAGGTGATAGAGAAAGAAGAAGAAGAAACAAAAAGGTGGAGAAAAGGGAAGAAGATATTTTATAGTTAAGTTTTTTTGAAACTAAATGGCATCATCTCTCCTTGCTAAGGGGGCCTCATTTCACCACATCAAGTAGGCCATTTTTGAGTAGCAGGCTAGACCAAGCTTGTGTTTTCTTTTGAAGTTGAACAAAGCCCAAAACAAGTATGAATGTTTGGGCTTTTTTTTTTTTTTCCTTTTTGGTGTTTGGATTGGTTTTTTATTTGTTTGTATTATGTGATTATTGTTAGTTTTAATCAATGATTGATATAGTTTATGTTAGAATGCATACATACATATATATATTATACTATGTGCATAAACTAGTATGTAATGTTTAATTAATATAAAAAGGATGAATATATATATATATATATATTCTCTAAATAGAATAAAAGGATAAAGTATGTTTAGTTTTTTTTTTAAAAATATAAATAAATAATGAAATATTTTGTTATTTACAATGCTTGGGATATTATAATGAAATAGATATTAGATCAGAAAAGAATACATTTATAGAATATTTTATTTAAAATTAAAATTCATATAGTTATTAATTAACTCAAATAATTATTACAAATAAAAGATTAGTGGAACAAAGCTATTTATTCAATAAAAGTAGCTTAAAAAATAATAATACTCTAAAAAAATCATCTGTTTAAATAAAATATTTTTAAAAATTATATATAATAAGAATAAAAAAGTATTTAATTATATTAAAATGATAAATATATTTCTATAGAAACTAGAATCAAAGAAATCATTTTATTAGCATTATTCATAATTTTATGTTGACATGGCATGCATCATGTATATTTTGGTAATGAGTCAAGCACTCTGATGATGGAATTTTTTCGAAGGACATGTAAAGATGAGTTCTTTTGAAGATATCTCTAGGTGAGGAAAACTTCTAAACTTTGCCAAAGCAATGGGATGGTCTATGAATTGTTTTTCCAATACAAGGTTTTTGTTTCCCATTATTTAAAATTGGTAAATCATGACATCATTTTATAATTGCATCATGTGTATTCGTAAAGTCGAATAATCAAACTTTGGTTAAAAAAACTAATAAAATAAATAAAACAATAATAATAAATTAGAAAGAAAGATTAGGAACAAACAAGGCATGTAAAATCAAGAATTATAAAATATATATGGAAACATAAAAATAAAATTAAAAAAATTGAAGTTTAAATAGGATAATATATGATTAAATGGAACTATTCGTGGAACCAACATCATGGGGGTCTTAATTCTTTCTCGTGTATAATTGTACTCTCGAATTCAACTCTAAAATTCACAAACCAAGTTATTGTTCTTTAGGAGGACCTAAAATCAATTCGGGACTTCGACCAATAAAACGAATTTAATAGGTAGCCAATTACACCTAGATAGAAAAGATTGGTGGCGACTCTCAAATTTCCACATCTAACGGTCGAGTTCTTGGACCCACACATTATGACAGTATTGGAGACTCCCTTGGGGAGCTTTTTGAGAATCGAGCCATTTATTAATCGTAGGTTATCCTAAAACTTAAATAATTCAATGTTGCCTTTAATCTTGAGCATTTATTTTTTGCATTATTGTATCGTACATTTGTTGTTTCATTGTTGTTTTATTGCTTTTAAATAATTGTGGGGAATTTAGGATAGAGGGATGTGAGACTATTAATCAAAGGTTGGTACATTCCTTCACAAACATGACACATTTTGTATTCATGCATAAGCCTTCAACTCTAGCTTTGTCCTTTGTTAAGAAGGAATTTAGTAGTTATGCTTTTGTGAGGTGCTAACCTTCGCATAGGCTAGTGAACACTCTCACTCAAATTGAACCTACTTAATTTTAAGCCTGTAATAGGTGAGGACTAAGGTGCCTTAATAGTTTGAGTGGGAATGTGAAGAATAATTTGGGAACCTTTAGCTCTATTCAAACCTAAATTCAACATATAGAATGCCATGGGCAACCTTTTCCTAGGTAGAGCCTTACTTGTGAGTATATACCCTTTAATTAGGCACAGATGAAAGAACTTCTCTTACCCCTTGTACTTTAAATTTCCCACCAAAAATAATAATAAAAATCATGGAGTAAATAATGTCTGATGACATGATAAATATCCATAATCTTAATCATCACATTTTTTAAAATGCAAGTTAATATTCTTTCGTTTTATTTTTTTTCTAACTTGAATTTGTTATCATTTTTGTTTGCATATGCAGATTTGCATCATAATTTTTCATATAGGAAGAGGTATTCATCACTTAACAATTATTGATGGGTAAGAATCTAATTGCATTTGTGGAGTCATTGTGGCCACCTTCAGGCTATGCCGAGATAACAAAGTAACATAATGCATGGCAAGCACTCAACAAAGTGAAAGACATTGCTTAGCAAAAGGTCACATTTCATCAATACCTAAAAGGGTTCACCTTGATTTTAAACAGAATGACTTCAACTTGTTCAACATATAGGAAAGGTGGAAGGCCGTAACTTGAGGAAACTTTGATAAGAAATATGACCACATAGCTTGACTCCTTAAGGTGCAGGTTGATGATTAGTTGAAGCCATCATGCAATTCCAGGATCCATCATATAGATGTTTTGCATTTAACGAAGTGGATATGGTGCCATAGATTAAAGAATATTCAGCTCTGCTC